ATTTTCATCTTCGAAAGATCATGTTGAAAAATTCATGACGGATTTCATAAAATATCAAATGGAAACGAATTTAAGATTCTCTTTATCTCATGACTGGTTTTTTCAACCAAACATGGTACGTTACTACGTCAAACTTATATCAACTGATTTTCTGATATTAGCTGGTTGAACTTGAAATTACCAGTTGGTATCACAATTTAACAAGCGTCACGTGTGAGTTGTTCATGCAATTTCAGAAGACATACAGCCACATTATATATATTATTGTTTTAAGTCTGATAATGACTTTGGTCAGAGGAACTGTCGGGTAAATTAGATATTGTTCTGATAATTTTATCTATATATTACAGAATAGCTATATACTGTAAGTATATGGGCGTTGATCTTTTAGATCAACTTAGCTTGCAGAATTTCCATTTGTAAACAGTTGTAACATATCCAACAAACATTCCCTACGTTATTATAGTTTCCAGATGTATACTCGACATGTCACTTTGATCACAGGTTATTTACTTGTAAATCCAATTATTTGAAGCAGAGATCTTTTTCACAAGTCTGCTAATTTGGGTTTTCGTTTACACATGTCACGGCACAGGATGTCTCGACACATGTGAAACGACTTAAAACACAACTCACTACCTTACTGGACAGAGAAAGACGGACGTGAAGATGTTACCAGTTATCTTGTGATCAATAATAAATTCCGGCGGACCCTGACTAGAGACGTATGTCACACATGTAATATACGTCTCTGCCCTGACCTAGTGGTCACCTCTATCACCCCACACCCACCCGTTGTAAGCGAAAAGTTGCCAGACCTTCACATGAAAAGCCTCCGTAAACAAGATTCCGACCAATCTAGGATACACAACATGTTGGCACATGGGTCTTAACCTTTAAGTTAAAAGTACCCCTGCCCTATATCCCTCACTCGACACGACTTCATTACGTCATTACTCACTTAATATTTGCTCACAAGCTATCGATCCCAACATGTTGAAAGACTAACGCCCTTCTAACCCACTTGAAATATTTTACCTATGACCTTCCATTACAATAGCGTCATACATTGTATCATCTTCCTTTTATTGTTGAAGTAGGTTTCTGTACTCGTCCTGTTGTTGGTGTACAAATGGAGTATATCTATCAGCACTACCAGTTCAAAATAGTAGTTTATATAGTGAAGAGTCGAGACAGAAAACTGCGATCATATACGATGACTGATAGGGAAGTTTAAACACAAAACATATGATCTTGTTTTGGTTTTTCTACATAAAATGTCATGAATACAAATCTAACTAAGAAAATCAACAGATAAAGGTGAAACGTATACAACACAATTGATGATAAATAAATCTACAAATAAGACCAATGAGCGTAATTAAACAAAGTTGAAGGTTTAAATCGTCTGCCGTACAGTCCGATAGGTACGAGGCGACTGATGTGGAGACCTGTAGCGTTTTATACAGAGCTGTTCCTAGGCCAAGACAGAGCTGTATTAAGTACATTGTTCAGTGTTTGTATAGGTTCTGTTTAGTTCATTAACAATTAATTGATTGACTGATTCAGTTGATTTGTCGAGTTTACGTTACATCAATTATCATTTCATTTTTCTTCTCTGTATTTTGGCAAATGATATACCATACATGTATCATATCTATGTACGTGATTCGGGCAGCACTGTCTGTTTACATCTCGTACGTGATTCAGGCAGCACTGTCTGTTTACATCTCGTACGTGATTCAGGCAGCACCGTCTGTTTACATCTCGTACGTGATTCAGGCAGCACTGTCTGTTTTCATCTCGTACGTGATTCAGGCAGCACCGTCTGTTTACATCTCGTACGTGATTCAGGCAGCACCGTCTGTTCAGATCTCGTACGTGATTCAGGCAGCACTGTCTGTTTACATCTCGTACGTGATTCAGGCAGCACCGTCTGTTTACATCTCGTACGTGATTCAGGCAGCACTGTCTGTTTACATTTCGTACGTGATTCAGGTAGCACTGTCTGTTTACATCTCGTACGTGATTCAGGCAGCACTGTCTGTTTACATCTCGTACGTGATTCAGGCAGCACTGTCTGTTTACATCTCGTACGTGATTCAGGCAGCACTGTCTGTTCACATCTCGTACGTGATTCAGGCAGCACTGTCTGTTTACATCTTGTCCGTTTTTTGTTGACGTGTAAGGTAAGGGTTTTGTGTATTACCTCATTCCTAACAGATCTATCACGCTTGTCGCTCTCTTTTCAAGAGATTGCAATTTTTATGGTACTTAAAACAACAGAGTGAACTCTCCAAACAAATCACCTGAAATGATATGTAACGTTGATTTATAAATCCCCCCAATTGTCGTGGGGAAAAACCCACTCAAGTTACAATAGGGGCTGACAAATGTCTAGATACCTGAATTACAATCGAATGTTGGAAAACTACTCGAACTGATAAGGGGGATTTGTTAACCAAAACACCTAGAAATTCAAAGTGAAGTGCTCCAACCAATCAAACATCCACGGTGTATTGGTACAACAAATCAGTTATACAATTTGCTTTAGTAACATAGTAAATCAGGTACGGTGGGGGATCGATTCCATCACGTCAGGAAACGTGACACTTAAGTAGTAGTGTTACATTCGTAAATGGGTAGTTATACTCACTGTGTAGTATGTCAAGTCAAGATTCTGGCGTGGTTCTCCATTGTATAAATCAGTTATATATGTCTTACCATAACGAGGCTAAAACGTCATAATGTTCAATTCAAAGAATTGGCAGGTTGTCTGGGAGTGCTTGATAGAACACTGACGGCAGGTTGTCTGGGAGTGCTTGATATAACACTTATGGCAGGTTGACAGGGAGTGCTTGATAGAACACTGATGGCAGGTTGTCTGGGAGTGCTTGATATAAAACTGACGGCAGGTTGTCTGGGAGTGCTTGATAGAACACTGATGACAGGTTGTCTGGGAGTGCTTGATAGAACACTGACGGCAGGTTGTCTGGAAGTGTTTGATAAAACACTGACGACAGGTTGTCTGGGAGTGCTTGATATAACACTGGTGGCAGGTTGTCTGGGAGTGATTGATAGAACACTGATGACAGGTTGTCTGGGAGTGCTTGATACAACACTGATGGCAGGTTGTCTGGGAGTGCTTGATAGAACACTGGTGGCAGGTTGTCTGGGAGTGCTTGATATAACACTGATGACAGGTTGTCTGGGAGTGCTTGATATAACACTGATGACAGGTTGTCTGGGAGTGCTTGATAGAACACTGATGACAGGTTGTCTGGGAGTGCTTGATATAACACTGACGGCAGGTTGTCTGGGAGTGCTTGATATAACACTGGTGGCAGGTTGTCTGGGAGTGCTTGATATAACACTGGTAGCAGATTGTCTGGGAGTGCTTGATAGAACACTGATGACAGGTTGTCTGGGAGTGCTTGATAGAACACTGGTGGCAGGTTGTCTGGGAGTGATTACACTGCGTTGATTGAACAGTACTGGGGCATAGCAACAGAATATAGATCTATATTTATGTGTAAGTATGATGCCTTTGTAAAGACTTGATAAATGTAAGAATAAGACAAAAACCAGTTAACGATGAAGCGTATATTTCAACAATGAGTATAGAGAGCACATAAATAAAAAAAAACACACACTTTTTCTCCAAGTCCTCCGTCATATGCATTCAGTATAAGGCACTTATAAGACATACATCATTTCACACCGACAGGACAAATAATAATTAAGCTGATAGCTGAAATAACTATCAACAAGGAAGGCTTCATCTGTTTGTTTGATTCTCAATAGCTCTCTTCAGTATTTTTTCTCACAACTGGCCCGAGGATTGTACAGGAGATACACTCGTGTGAATAAAACTTTAGATATAATTCTTCTGTGTCTTTCATGGACAAGACAAGATAACTTGCAGCATGGGCTTAGATACATCTCGATAGAGACAGGAAGGTACACAAATTAAAGTAATTTGATTTTTTAAAATATTTTCTATAATCTGAAAATAAATAGTATGTGTTTACTGTGTTTAGTTAATGATACCGGAACATAAATCAAGTCAAATGTTCTACCACTGACCTTGTCATACAGTATAAGGTCAAATGTACTACCACTGACCTTGTCATACAGTAAAGGTCAAATGTTCTACCAATGACCTTGCCATACAGTAAAAGGTCAAATGTTCTACCACTGACCTTGTCATACAGTATAAGGTCAAATGTACTACCACTGACCTTGTCATACAGTAAAGGTCAAATGTTCTACCACTGACCTTGTCATACAGTATAGGTCAAATGTTCTTCCACTGACCTTGTCATACAGTATGAGTCTAATGTTCTGCCACTGACCTTGTCATACAGTATAGGTCAAATGTTCTTCCACTGACCTTGTCATTCAGTATAAATCAAATGTTCTACCACTGACCTTGTCATACAGTATAAGGTCAAATGTTCTATCACTGACAGCACGTGTTACAGCACGTGTTACAGCACGCGTCTCGCGTCTCTTTTTCTATCAATGTTACTTTAGACAAGTGTAGATAATTCAGAAATATATAATCCTCGACGTCATGGCTACTTTTATCCAAGATTGTCTCATTGTTGTAAACTATTCTTATATTTGTGTTTAGTATATATATACATATGTATGTGAGACAGTGGACGTCGGATGTCAAGTATGGAACCATAGAGTCAACGGTACATTTTGGAGTTTTCACCCGAGCCATATCTTGTGGAACATGCGCTTTCCAGTAAATATCGGAGCGAGGTGAGGCACGTGACAGTTCAGATCTATCACAGTAGTAAACAATGCCATTAAAATACAATTTAGGCTTATTAACGAGTATTAGAAAATAATGTCAATCAAAACATAATTATAAACACTGCGTTCGTTGTTAGTATAAATATGATATATCTATAGCAGAGCGGCTCTCTGATAGCAGCATTTGTCCTGAAGATTTTCTCATCAAAACTTCAGTAAGACCTGTCGGCCAGTTACAGTATGGTACATGGTTGTCCCTCTATCTTATAACCGGCAGGGCTAAGTACTGATACAATGGCATTGTTGATCAACTGTTTCATCTTCTTTTGACCGTCTGGTGAGCATTCGATGTAACAAGATGCACCAAGTCGCCTCGCCATAGCAGCTCCATCAGACTTGGATACAGGACTCCGGCCACATCGCCGTAGTTCCTCAACCACGCTATCGTCCTTACGGAGGTCAGTTTGTGTATTGACCAATATGAAAGGAGTATCTCCCATCTGTCGTTTTATAATCGGTATCCATTTCTTTTCGGCATTGCTGAAGGACTCGGGTCTGACGGCAGAGAAACACACCACAAACACATCGGTTCCAGGAAATACGTTCTGGGTAACATCAGAGCATGGGTCCTAAGTGAGACAAGAAAAAACATGATCATTTTAGATGGACAAAATCGGGATTCTGTATTTGAAACGTTCGTATGCACAATATGAAACGACACAGGTGATGAGAGTTTACACTTAACCTATCGTTAAACATTGTACATACTGCCCACAGAAAGAAATGTTTACGAAACCGACATGAAAATTTGAGCACAAATCACAATGATAGATAGGTGTTTTGTTATTTTTTAAGATCTTTAAGATTTTAATCTTTGACTTACGAAAGCCAGACATGATGTTTTGACAGATATCCTATCAGTTGTAGACATCTGTACGGGCGATTGTTTTACATAGTCTTTGCTGTAGGCTGGTGTTTAAGCTTGAAGATAGCGGCATTGCTTAAGATACTGGGATTTACTTAATATATAAGCCTGTTAGAGCTACCGGAATTATGAGACGATTTGTCTGTTCGCAGGATAGAGCTACCGGCATGATGAGACGGTTTGTCTATGAGACGGTTTGTCTGTGAGACGGTTTGCTTGTTCGCAGGATAGAACCACCGGAATGATGAGACTGTTTGTCTGTTTGCAAGAAAAAGCTATAGGAATGATGAGGCGGTTTGTCTGTTTACAAGAAAGAGCTATCGGAATGATGAGACGATTTGTCTGTTTGCAAGAAAGAGCTATCGGAATGATGAGACGGTTTGTCTGTTTGCAAGAAAAAGCTATAGGAATGATGAGGCGGTTTGTCTGTTTACAAGAAAGAGCTATCGGAATGATGAGACAATTTGTCTGTTTGCAAGAAAGAGCTATCGGAATGATGAGACGGTTTGTCTGTTCGCAAGAAAGAGCTACCGGAATGATGAGACGATTTGTCTGTTCGCAAGAAAGAGCTACCGGAATAATGAGACGGTTTGTCTGTTCTCAGGAGTACAGGGGTTCTATCTTTGCTGAGTTGGGATGTCGAGGTTTACAATTATATCAGTGGCAATACCGGCGTTGGTGTTAGTGTAAGCCTTTTCAGAGGGTGGAGATATGGTGATTATTAAAGGTGTTGTTACTATGTCCCATTCTCATATCACACCGTAAGAAAACAATACCTCTTTAACGATGCCCTCCGTATTCCCTATATCTATCATCATAAGTACCCTCCGTATTCCCTATATCTATCATCATAAGTACCCTCCGTATTCCCTATATCTATCATCATAAGTACCCTCCGTATTCCCTATATCTATCATCATAAGTACCCTACGTATTCCCTATATCTATCATCATAAGTACCCTCCGTATTCCCTCTATCTATCATCATAAGTACCTTCCTTCTTCCCTATATCTATCATCATAAGTACCCTCCGTATTCCCTATATCTATCATCATAAGTACCTTCCGTATTCCCTATATCTATCATCATAAGTACCCTCCGTATTCCCTATATCTATCATCTTAAGTACCCTCCGTATTCCCTATATCTATCATCATAAGTACCCTTCTTCCCTGTATGTATCATCATAAGTACCCTTCGTATTCCCTATATGTACCATCCTATTTACCCTCCGTATTCCCTATATCTATCATCATAAGTATCCTCCGTATTCCCTATATGTACCATCCTATTTACCCTCCGTATTCCCTATATGTACCATCCTATTTACTCTTTGTATTCACTTTATTTATACCGCAATCCTTGTCAATAAATATAGATACGACAACTATCTTTCATGAAGTTCATTGGTCTGGATCAGTAAAGGAATATATTTCGTTTCTTGTCAATATCTTCAGACAAAAACAAGTCTATTCTATATAACACATATCACAATAATTATCCAACAGGTTATAGACACCAAACATTAGCGTTTTTGAACTATTTGAACACCAAGCTTCGGGAGTATAAGTTCTTTTCCAACTCCATTCAATGTAATGTCTACGGGGTTACACTGTTTATATTGATATTTTGGGGCTAAGGCAGAGTTATTGTCTGATAAAATCATCTTTGCTATAATACACTAGCAGTACGTTCGACGTAAGGTGAGGTGACGGTGCGATCCCGATGTAAGGTGAGGTGACGGTACGATCCCGATGTAAGGTGAGGTGACGGTACGATCCCGATGTAAGGTGAGGTGACGGTCCGATCCTGATGTAAGGTGAGGTGACGGTCCGATCCTGATGTAAGGTGAGGTGACGATGCGATCCCGATGTAAGGTGAGGTGACGGTACGATCCCGATGTAAGGTGAGGTGACGGTACGATCCCGATGTAAGGTGAGGTGACGGTCCGATCCTGATGTAAGGTGAGGTGACGGTGCGATCCCGATGTAAGGTGAGGTGACGGTACGATCCCGATGTAAGGTGAGGTGACGGTCCGATCCTGATGTAAGGTGAGGTGACGGTACGATCCCGATGTAAGGTGAGGTGACGGTCCGATCCCGATGTAAGGTGAGGTGACGGTACGATCCCGATGTAAGGTGAGGTGACGGTCCGATCCTGATGTAAGGTGAGGTGACGGTACGATCCTGATGTAAGGTGAGGTGACGGTGCGATCTCAATGTAAGGTGAGATACCGGTGCAATCCCGGTGTAAGGTGAGATACCGTTGCAATCCCGGTGTAAGGTGAGATACCGGTGCGATCCCCCCGGTGTAAGGTGAGATACCGGTACGATCCCCCCGGTGTAAGGTGAGATACCGGTGCGATCCTGATGTAAGGTGAGGTGACGGTACGATCCTGATGTAAGGTGAGGTGACGGTGCGATCCCAATGTAAGGTGAGATATCGGTGCAATCTCGGTGTAAGGTGAGATACCGGTGCGATCCCCCCGGTGTAAGGTGACGTGACGGTGCGACCCCCCTCCTCCCAACCCCGATGTAAGGTGAGGTGACGGTGCGACCCCCCCTCCTCCCAACCCCGATGTAAGGTGAGGTGACGCTGCGATCCCGACGTAAGTTGAGGTGACGGTGCAATCCTCAACACATATTACATGATGAGTCAGCACGTTAATGTAAACAGGACTTTATTTCCTTAAAACGTTTAACAGATTTTCTCCCCTATAACATCGATTTCCATTTCGCTCTAACGATAATATATGATATAGATACAGTAGACGCTGCGTTAAAGCCGTCTCTCCACGAAAACTTAATTCATGTCTGGCAGACGGAGGTCGAATCTACATAGAAAATACAAACAAATCATCCGTTTTTCTTTTCTATTTTTTTTACTTTGGGTACTTTTTAAACATGCTTGGGTGTCTGAGTACAAACACGAAGGTCACGAACAGATTGAGCTGGTGATCAATCAGACGTCATGTACACTCAGTTGTAAACTTAACTGGCTATTTGATGGTCTGTGGTCTGACGTAACGACCAGACAAAGTCTGTGATAGGTGAAATATGGTCCTGTTGTTTTATTCACAGTAGATATACTTGTACGAAATAACACCAATACCTCCCTATGTTGATAAATTCAAGAAGAAGCACCAAGCCTCCCCTAATCCCTACCAAAATGTAAATATGCACACGAAGAATAGACTATTGTATATAACTGGGACAGGAAGGGGGACTATCATCAGAACAGGTTATTGTATATAACTGGGACAGGAAGAGGGGACTACCATCAGAACAGGTTATTGTATATAACTGGGACAGGAAGGGGGGACTATCATCAGAACATGTTATTGAATATAATTGGGACGGGGAGGGAGGACTATTATCAGAACAGGTTATTGTATATAACTGGGACAGGAAGGGGGGACTATTATCAGAACAGATATATAACTGGGACAGGAAGGACGGGATATCATCAGAACAGATATATAACTGGGACGTGAAGGGAGGTACTATCATCAGAACAGGTTATTGAATATAACTGGGACGGGAAGGACGGGATATCATCAGAACAGGTTATTGAATATAATTGGGACGTGAAGGGAAGGACTTTCATCAGAACAGCTTATTGTATATAACTGGGACAGGAAGGGGTGGGGCTATCATCAGAACAGGTTGTTGTTTATAACTGGGACGTGAAGTGAGGGACTATCATCAGAACATGTTATTGTATATAACTGGGACAGGAAGGGAGGGCTATCATCAGAACATGTTATTGTATATAACTGAGACGGGAAGGGGGACTCTCATCAGAACAGGTTATTGTATATAACTGGGACGGGAAAGGGGGACTATCATCAGAACAGGTTATTGTCTATAACTGGGACGGGAAGGACGGGATATCATCAGAACAGGTTATTGTATATAACTGGGACGTGATGGGAGGGCTATCATCAGAACATGTTATTGTATATAACTGGGACGGGAAGGGGGACTCTCATCAGAACAGGTTATTGTATATATCTGGGACGGGAAAGGGGGACTATCATTAGAACAGGTTATTGTATATAACTGGGACGGGAAGGACGGGATATCATCAGAACAGGTTATTGTATATAACTGGGACGTGATGGGAGGGCTATCATCAGAACAGGTTATTGTATATAACTGGGACAGGAAGGGAGGGACTATTATCAGAACAGATATATAACTGGAACGGGAAGGGAGGGACTATCATCAGAACAGGTTATTGTATATAACTGGGACAGAAAGGGGTGGAGCTATCATCAGAACAGGTTATTGTATATAACTGGGACGTGAAGGGAGGGCTATCATCAGAACAGGTTATTGTATATAACTGGGACGTGATGGGAGGGCTATCATCAGAACAGGTTATTGTATATAATTGGGACAGGAAGGGAGGGCTATCATCAGAACAGGTTATTGTATATAACTGGGACGGGGAGGGAGGGCTATCATCAGAACAGGTTATTGTATATAACTGGGACAGGAAGGGGTGGAGCTATCATCAGAACAGGTTATTGTATATAACTGGGACAGGAAGGGAGGGACTATTATCAGAACAGATATATAACTGGAATGGGAAGGGAGGGACTATCATCAGAACAGGTTATTGTATATAACTGGGACAGAAAGGGGTGGAGCTATCATCAGAACAGGTTATTGTATATAACTGGGACGTGAAGGGAGGGCTATTATCAGAACAGGTTATTGTATATAACTGGGACGTGATGGGAGGGCTATCATCAGAACAGGTTATTGTATATAACTGGGACAGGAAGGGAGGGACTATTATCAGAACAGATATATAACTGGAATGGGAAGGGAGGGACTATCATCAGAACAGGTTATTGTATATAACTGGGACAGAAAGGGGTGGAGCTATCATCAGAACAGGTTATTGTATATAACTGGGACGTGAAGGGAGGGCTATCATCAGAACAGGTTATTGTATATAACTGGGACAGAAAGGGGGGACAATGATCAGAAAAGGTATATAACTGGGACAAGAGTTGAAGGACAACACTTACATGTGTAACAGGTAATGATATTTCAATGAGTATAGTAATATTACCATTTTGTTACCGTCCAATTCAGGACTTGGACCTTCCGAATTTAGCTGACGCAACGCCCCTACATAGACCCTAATGTAACTTTAGAAAGTCTTACACACAGACCTCAAATTTAACCTTGTCATTTCGTGACTTTCTAAAAAGTAGAACAAGACCTGTTCTAATTAGAGAAATAAAATCTATGTATCATTTTAGCAAAGTAAACCCGGAAACAAACATGACTGCCTATTCGTCTGATATTATATAAGTGAAACCTTTCAAATGTTTATGATTGACGAGGTGTAACGCCCTTTGGCATCCGCATTGTTTCGTGGATAGGAGACATATTTCTACAAAACATCACAGCAATAAAAATTCTAATTCAAATCTTGATTTCATAAAAAATTGATACAGAAAAAACTTCAAGTTCAGAGTTCATATAATCAAATACGAAACCAAATATGAAAGTATTTTCATTTATAAAATCTGATCTCATTTTATTTGATCAGTTTGAGGATTAAGAGGAATCTATTAATTTTTTCTAGGATTTTTACAGAATGTAGCATAACTAGGAACCAATTAAGAATTTTTACAACTTTTACAGAATGTAGCATAACTAGGAACCAATTAAGAATTTTTACAACTTTTACAGAATGTAGCATAACTAGGAACCAATTAAGAATTTTTACAACTTTTACAGAATGTAGCATAACTAGGAACCAATTAAGAATTTCTACAACTTTTACAGAATGTAGCATAACTAGGAATCAATTAAGAATTTTTACAACTTTTACAGAATGTAGCATAACTAGGAACCAATTAAGAATTTTTACAACTTTTACAGAATGTAGTGTAACTAGGAACCAATTAAGAATTTTTACAACTTTTACAGAATGTAGTGTAACTAGGAACCAATTAAGAATTTCTACAACTTTTACAGAATGTAGCATAACTAGGAACCAATTAAGAATTTCTACAACTTTTACAGAATGTAGCATAACTAGGAACCAATTAAGAATTTTTACAACTTTTACAGAATGTAGCATAACTAGGAACCAATTAAGAATTTTTACAACTTTTACAGAATGTAGTGTAACTAGGAACCAATTAAGAATTTCTACAACTTTTACAGAATGTAGCATAACTAGGAACCAATTAAGAATTTCTACAACTTTTACAGAATGTAGCATAACTAGGAACCAATTAAGAATTTTTACAACTTTTACAGAATTTAGTGTAACTAGGAACCAATTAAGAATTTCTACAACTTTTACAGAATGTAGCATAACTAGGAACCAATTAAGAATTTTTACAACTTTTACAGAATGTAGTGTAACTAGGAACCAATTAAGAATTTCTACAACTTTTACAGAATTTTTACAACATTTTAAAGAAGCACAGTAGCATAACTAGGAACCAATTAAGAATTTCTACAACTTTTACAGAATGTAGCATAACTAGGAACCAATTAAGAATTTTTACAACTTTTACAGAATGTAGCATAACTAGGAACCAATTAAGAATTTTTACAACTTTTACAGAATGTAGTGTAACTAGGAACCAATTAAGAATTTCTACAACTTTTACAGAATGTAGCATAACTAGGAACCAATTAAGAATTTCTACAACTTTTACAGAATGTAGCATAACTAGGAACCAATTAAGAATTTTTACAACTTTTACAGAATGTAGTGTAACTAGGAACCAATTAAGAATTTCTACAACTTTTACAGAATGTAGCATAACTAGGAACCAATTAAGAATTTTTACAACTTTTACAGAATGTCGTGTAACTAGGAACCAATTAAGAATTTCTACAACTTTTACAGAATGTCGTGTAACTAGGAACCAATTAAGAATTTTTACAACTTTTACAGAATGTAGCATAACTAGGAACCAATTAAGAATTTTTACAACTTTTACAGAATGTAGCATAACTAGGAACCAATTAAGAATTTTTACAACTTTTACAGAATGTAGCATAACTAGGAACCAATTAAGAATTTCTACAACTTTTACAGAATGTAGTGTAACTAGGTATCAAGTTAGAATTTTCAGAACGACGTGGTAACAAAGACAGGAAGGGAGGTAGGATGTATGCTTGACAGAGATTCGCTTCCCTATCAAAATAATAAATGTGTCCCGGCCATACCTTAACCTTACATAGCTGACATGGATGACGTATACAAACCACACTGATGAAGTGCATTTTTAAGTTTGACATTTTAAAGAAGCACAGTTATACAAGAGTTACTAAAGAACCCTAAAGAATAAAAAAAATCTGAAAACAGTCGGTTTTTTCAACTCGAAAAAAATCTTTGGACATCATGGGGCGGCGTAACCGATAACAATGAGATTTTATACATGTAGCATGGTGATGGATCAGTTTCAGAACAATGCGATCTATGTTTGATTGAGTTTATACCAGAAGATGCGACTTTTGTGAAAATTGCAAGCAGAAAATGTGATCTTTTTGAGGATTAATTACTACCAGGAGGTGTAGCCTTGACGAGGATCTCTACAAGGAGATATGGCCTTCGTGAAGAGTTAATTTCTATGAGAAGATGTGACCTTCGCAAGAATTTCTATGAGAAGATGTGACCTTCGCAAGAATTTCTAAGAGAAGATGTGACCTTCGCAAGAATTTCTAAGAGAAGATGTGACCTTCGCGAGGATTTCTAAGAGAAGATGTGACCTTCGCGAGGATTTCTAAGAGAAGATGTGACCTTCGCGAGGATTTCATCCAGAAGATGGTTTTTAAATGGTTAGTTCATGGTTTGGTCTTTACAGAACGATTCACAGGTAAAATCTGTCTTTAAACGTTGCAAAAATATTTCAGATTTCCACATGGAACAGGTACATGTTTGCTGTGTTTAATAGAGCATGTCTACTGAATCATCAAAAGGAGCAATTAATCGAGGTTAAATAGTTTTACAATCAATTAAACTAAAACAATCAATTAAACTATCAATTAAACTTAAACTCCAATTCATTTCCTACAGGTGTACACAATCTATAAATACTGGATGAAACATCATATCTATGTAACTGATGATTATCAACCCCACTCCACTCCTACAATAAAACAGACAATGAGCGGAGTAAATAAATAGCGGTACACGTGGACGTGAAATCACTTCCGACACGTATTGACAGATGTGTTCGTATTCCCGTAATTACCGGTACACCACATACCTAAGGGCTTAACGTGTGTCTGGTAACCTACCTAAGTGCGTCACTCCCAGTGTATTGCGGTCAGCTAGGTCAGTGGTGGCGAGGGGGCGTCATCAGAATATACAAGTGTACTAAAAGGGTGTGTTGGAAAGTGCTGACAGAGGGAGTATCATCAGAATATATAAGTGTAAATAGAGTGTAAGTTGTATCGTGGTGACAGAGGGAGTATCATCAGAATATATAAGTGTAAATAGAGTGTAAGTTGTATCGTGGTGACAGAGGGAGTATCATCAGAATATATAAGTGTAAATAGAGTGTAAGTTGTATCGTGGTGACAGAGGGAGTATCATCAGAATATATAAGTGTAAATAGAGTGTAAGTTGTATCGTGGTGACAGAGGGAGTAGCATCAGAATATATAAGTGTAAATAGAGTGTAAGTTGGAGAGTGACAGTGTAATAAGTCAGTTATGACAATGTTATGTCTCGGAGTGGGATAAAACTTTAGATTCTATAACAGATATACCCGTGTTACGATATTTTGTGAGAAACAATTAACCACAAAAATATCATCACAAGTGTCGTGTTTTGCTTTTCCTTTCTGGGCTAGGATTCCTAACTTTTCGGGACTATGTTTCACAGCATGTTTTTTATCGAGTTCAAATAATCACGTTATTCTAAAGTCTTTACCGCGTGAAATAATGTTACTTTTTACTGTCCACATAGGCTACCAAATATAATGCCTAGATATTTCTTGTAAATAATTATCAATGACATAGTATTACACCACTGAAATATCAAACTGATACTGCTAAGCGTGGGTATCCTAAAGGACACATGGTAGACATGCCGTGTGTCACCTACTCATCAGAGAGCACGTAACCACCCTGTCCCTATCTCACCTGTTCCAACGTGTCTATCAGCTGTAGGTGGTATCGCTTTCCAGATATGCAAATGTTACCTATGAACGACAGAAAAAATAAAAAAAGCTGTCAGCGTATGTTATAGAAGAGGTCAATATTTAATTCAGTCAGAGTACAAAGTCCGAAAGGTCATTGTCAGTCACTTGACCATGAAAATATACAAAATATAAAGAATAAAGCTACTGACAGAGAAACACGTACAGTAATTTTAACTTCATGGAAATCAATAAGTAAACAATATGCCTATGTATTACAGAACGATATCATTTCAACTTCGATAGTAACTCACATTTGTTAAAATATATGTGTTTGTCTTGATTTTATAACAGAATTTTTAGATGAGAGTTATTTCCCTTGAAATTGTAAATTATTCATTTTGATGGCGAGTTTAGTCTCTGGATAAAAAACAAGGTGTGTGACTGGCAATGAACGAAAAAGTTTGTCATGTATCTTTTATAATACAGTTTGCAATACATTTTACAATATCAGTCGAAGTTTTTATGTATTTCCCCAAAGCTAAAAAAATGTTGCAAGATACATGTGTGATACAAAGGACAGTAGCACTCAGTTATAGTGTCGTCGGTAATAAAACATCCCAAGTCGATGATATTCTGTAAATTGTAAAATTGTAACCCTAACGTATATTTCTAAACACATTTTACACTTGTATTGACAAATATAGAAAAAAAATCTTGTTTACCTGGTGTACAAGTTATAATTTTCATTAACAAATCTAAAAATAGATTACAACTACCAAAGACACGCGGTATAATATAATAACATATTAAAAAATAATACAGATACACAGCAACATAGGAATACACAATAAATGTAATAATCCGGACCATTTATCACAGAGGTAAGTTGCGTAATACAATCAAGGAAAGGCATGTAGATTATGCAGTACATTAATTTGTGTATGAAATAATGAATATTATGAAACATCATTACATACATTGTCACTGTGCATCTGTATGATAAATGGTGCGTGAGACATATTTAGCGCATGACACAGAATTACTGACCCAAATCGACAACAACAAACCAGAAATAGTTCGCATCGTGTCTGATGTAATAAACATTACTGTGACATGATGTGTTACCACTGGACAATGGTCAATTCGTGTGTCGAATGTGTGAAGGGGATACATACCCGCATAGTTATCGAAGACCGAGGGAACATGTTGTGTCTCTGGAAATTTATTTGTGGCATAACACACCAACATGCTGGTTTTACCCACAGCATCGTCTCCTATGACCACACACTTGATAAAATTGGTCCTCAGAATCACCATAATTAGTCTGTATTGTCTATTTAGGATTGAGAGAATCACACATTATGTTATATAGCTGATGATGTTTAAAAATCTCACTGCGTCAATATAAACCACATGGCCTAGGAAAGCATCTCTCTTTGTTTTCGTGTGAAGTTACAACCGTGTATATGCCCGCCAACTTATAAATCACATATCTTGTCACGTGCTCGCCCAGGTAAACTCTCAGGTATTTCAGGAGAACTTATCAACAGACCTGTGTATATTTCTAACAAATAGCAAGGTAAACCTGAGCGATCAAGCTGTGTGATTTTATATCAGATAGGCCCATCATTGTTTAGGTGTATTTAAAGTGAAATTGACGTGTCACATGAGCACATTAATTCTATTTCGCCGTCACAGCAGTATCCAAATGAGATATCTTTATTATGGTCAGCTGATAATTTGAATTCTGTCGCCATCTCTTAAGACATGAATGATATAGTACGATGGGTTCAGATTAATGGACTGTAAATAGACTGTTTATGGAACTCCCACACCTTGTCGAAGGTAGCAAGTCATACAGAGATCAGTTAAGGCTCAATTATGAATTATTACATGTACTTTGACTGATTTCCCGGTGAAAATCTTACTCCAGAACAGAATGATAAAGTAATTAGTATAACATAAAGGTGAATTGACGATATTACCAATGATATTGTGACAGTTTTAAAAGATTAGATTATTTTCAGTCACATACCTTACAATACGAAGTTTCACACGAAAGAAACATCAAGAAAATACCTACATGTCAACAAAATAATGATCCAAACTCCAACTACATGTAGATAAACCTAGGGCAAAATAGCAACAAGTACAAGAAGAATAAGACCAGGTGTTCCAGAAAAATAAGCGTCTTCTGCTTCATCGACGACAACCGCCATGTAAATCTTGGTTAATCACGTTTACAAATGAGAACAAGGTAATACAACAACGGAACCAGCAGACAAACTAACGAGTAGAGATACGAGAATAAATATGTTTTCTCTATGCTGAACCCAAATGAAATAAAAGTACAGTATAAGTATTTTTGTGTATAATCATAAGAAAAAAAACTATTCCTGACGTATCTTAAAGTACATCTGAGGGGATTTACCTAAAAGAAAGTCTGCTGATGTGCTAGTATCCATGTCAAAATCTGTTTTATGTAGATACGAGCCAAGTTCAAATGTATCCCAGGTGTACATTATTTGACTAAAGCAGACCAACAAATGTTCTAGAATCTGCCAAATTGACAAGATCTATACAGACATCTTCACAGAAACAGTATTTTACAGTGATAATACAGTCATTCCTGTTCTGACCGGCGGCTGATCTGTTCCTCTTAGCTCTATCCTCTGTAACTTGTTACTTTAGAAGTGGTTTGTACAGCTCTATGGTGGTTTGTACAGCTCTAAGGCGGATTACTGTCATCAGTTCAATACGATACCAGTAATGTATAACCAACTCAGAGACACAGATATCTTACACGAGAAAAAATATTGCTTTGTTCGGAAGTGTGAGGAAAATGATACCAAGCGATTACTTATTATGGTATAAAATCAACGATCATCATGTATCGTAACCTGGTCACTCAGACTGAATGGGGTCCACGAGAATTTATGTTGCGTGACCAGACACATGATATTTTACATGTTACCATACAACATGAAAATTACATCATTTAAACCTAAACATGATATGTAAGCAGAAAACTAGAAAACAGGTCCAAATTTATAGTAATCATTTGGTACGGTGTTGGTAGTAAGAGTCTCGTAGTAAACGTCAGAATAAATAAGTTTTTTTCTATCTTTACAAGTGAATTTTTTTCAAATTGTCGTTATCAACCGTTAACAGATGGTAGACACGGCTCGAGGTCCCCGAGGTTTATTGTAGCCTACATGCCACGTTTTAATTCAATCAAATAGTAGCACGGTTCGGAATTTACATCTGTACTTGGCGTTGTTCTAACATGGTCTGATATACATGGACACGAAAATTACGACATTTTTCATAGGCTGCAAACCTTAGGTCCTTGGCGCCACTAGTGTGTCCCGAAAGGACGAAACAGCTGTATAATACAATTTAATTCATTTTCTGATTCTATCTAAGTTAATCGTTTAAGGGTGCTATTCACTAGCTATGTCAGGAGATATGAAGCCAGGTGATGACATATTTTGGACAGGTGTGGTAATGAATAATTCATTACATGACATCATGACGTTTCACTACTCCGTCAATCATCTGTATATAGTACTGCCTTAACAGTTACTTTGATAGATTGTATGGTACTTCAAACAGTCTAATTCAAACAGTAATCAAATGTCAGTCTAGAATATTCCACGTTCTATAACGATTTACGGTAAATTTTTTGATACTCTAGAGCCATTAAAAAGACAACATCTACTTGGCCTTGGTGTTTAACTCTATAAGGATCCGACTGACGCCGTCACCACTGGGGCCGATATGACCACAATGTATACTCTGATTCAAACATTGTTTATTGCGAAAGACGTTGTTCACATGAAAATACATTTGCTTTGATTTGTGTTTCTTTTTGTTTTCATGTTCATAACGTTTGTTATTGTATTGTCCTGTTTTCGTTGTGGTAATAAGATATTAGTACCCGTTAATTAACCAGCACATTATGTTAACGAAGTTCCTCTAAAATCTGCTCTTTTTCTGTCACTATCAGTGATGCCTTTCTTTGTTTATTATAACATGGTGATAATAATGACCATCGTTCCCTTGTACTATATAGGTGACATATAAACCAATTTGGCTCATGTTATAATATCATCAGGTGTTCATATGTTCAATGTTCAAGCGATCAAATACATGAGTAAAGAGATCGTACGATAGTTTCGACCCTAGATATACAGGAATTTTGTGTACATAGTTACCTATGCATGTCCTTATTACAGGTACATATTTACCTGTATATGGCCTGATTACCTGTATGGTGTATATACTTAATACTCTGAGCCTGCCTTCACACCTGTGTGTACGTACAGGTTACTAGGATACATTTTCTTTACGTTATTGTAACACAAACAACCTGATACATAACTTCATGCGGGATGAATTACAATAATAATACCCTCTATGTGATAGTAACATTCATGAAACGATTCATATACGTGTACAGTTTTCATAATGTTTCAAAGACGATGAATAACTGTGTTGTTTCCTGCATCGCTGTAAAGCTGACAGTAAAGATGATAAGTTTAAAGGTCATTCCAAATCAAATATCACATCACATCTGCTAATTTCATTGTCAAAATGTATTTTCACATACATTTAACTGTATTTGCCTAATGAAAAAAAGTCTTAAGCTATGGAAAACTCTTAAAATAAACGACACTGTGTGTTGCAATGAACAGACATAATACGATAAAGTCGTAGTTTGGAACAATATCTCCGCGCGGAGCAGTTGGTTTTGTGTGCGTCATCAGACATAATGCAACGTGAAACCAGTCACGTAAACCAGTTTAACAAAATATTTAGGTTAAAATAGTCTGAATTTTCAACAAAGTTGCTGACTTACCACCTTTGTTTCTCTTTCAGAAACCGTCGCCTTCCAGCAAGAAGTGTGCTTCATATTCTATTCCGTGAAAAAGACGTTGGGATGAAGATAGAATATACAGAGAATAAAATCGATTTATTGAATGTAATAATTACAAAAAGCTATAGTCAGTGGTAGAATCTCCTTACAGACTATCGGCATACCTATTGAAACTAATTTGACCCTCTCTGAATTACTTTTTCATAAGAGTGAAATAGCCATGGAAGACCTCGCCAGGAAATTTGTTGTCCATGTACGACTGTTCCTTCTACACCAACCACTTACCGCGATCTCTATCTATATCGCAAACAAAAGGGAAAGCTTTCCAATAAGGTATCTGTAAGCGTCGATTTCCCTGTTTCTAGTTAGTAACGTCTTTGCTTCCACAAACTACGGCGTTTCCATATCGCAGTCTGTTGTAGTCTGTTTCCAGTCTGCTATGATAGAGACTTCGGAGGGATTTCATAGTCGCCAGCAAGATTTCATTTGGGATGGTTTCGGTGATATTAACCTAGTCGCACTACTTACTCGGACAGATCAAAATTACCTGAAGACGCTTACCCTTCCGGGACAGTAGGTTTGTTTATATCTTGTCTTCGTTTCCTTGATTTTGAGTTTGAATTGATATCTTAACAAGTCGGTATTTTGTTCTGGCCATTGAGAAGCAGAACGATATCACTACTCCTTGTATTTAGTTAGATTTATCTGTAAGTCCGTAGGTTTTCATTTTATTTTATGTCAAATGACTGATTGCATAAGACAGTAACCATATTACTTATACTGTCTCCTCACTATTACCTCCCTGTCTCGTATGAGCAGCCAATGTACTAAATAACATACATGAACGTCCGTTTGCTAATCTTTATATATCAAATGATATCAACATTGACTTTTATCGATATCTGCTGTCCCACATGGGCTATCTAACACAAGGGTTATCTAATTGTGTAGTTTATAGGCAATACGTAACGATAAGATATCTTTTTTTGTGAAAGTACATTTACATGTACTATCAGTTGTCAGTATCAGAGTCTATCTTACACAGAGTTATTTGGGTACCTCTCAGTTTTTTAACAACCAGTCTATAATTGTAATATGGTATACGGTATAATCTAGATAGTAAGTCACACTGGCAGTTTACTCGATCAACTTCCAGTCCTAATGCCCTAGTACATACGATATATATTAATAAAACCGACGTGCAGTGTGTGCTTCATACCTCATCATTACAGAGCTTAGCTGCGTGTCCATAATTTCCATGTTGATGTATCTTGTGCCAATTTTTTGTAGGCATGTTTCGTGTACTTTTTTATCTACTACATACAAACTTTATCTGTTTTATGTTTCAAATGTCCTTGCTGTTGCATTACACATTTATGAAATGTAATCAGTATTTACACTTATCGATTGTAGGAAGACTTTATTAATATGTTCGAAG